TTTCATTGTTTTGAAAATCTGACTGTTCTCCATGCCATCCAGTCATGATCCAGCGATCAGAATGTTCCATCGTCTTTTCATTGTTTTGAAAATCTCACTGTTCTCCATGCCATCCAGTCATGATCCAGTGATCAGAATGTTCCATTGTCTTTTCATTGTTTTGAAAATCCCACTGTTCTCCATGCCATCCAGTCATTATCCAGTGATCAGAATGTTCCATTGTCTTTTCATTGTTTTGAAAATCCCACTGTTCTCCATGCCATCCAGTCATGATCCAGTGATCAGAATGTTCCATTGTCTTTTCATTGTTTTGAAAATCCCACTGTTCTCCATGCCATCCAGGCATGATCCAGTGATCAGAATGTTCCATTGTCTTTTCATTGTTTTGAAAATCCCACTGTTTTCCATGCCATCCAGTCATGATCCAGTGATCAGAATGTTCCATTGTCTTTTCATTGTTTTGAAAATCCCACTGTTTTCCATGCCATCCAGTCATGATTCAGTGATCAGAATGTTCCATTGTCTTTTCATTGTTTTGAAAATCCCACTGTTCTCCATGCCATCCAGTCACTCGTAGTTTAGGCATATTTGTGGATATTTGCTTGTGAGTTGAAACTGTATGTCAACGGGTTTATAATCATCGTATAATTATCACTAAATTTCTTTTTTATAGATGGTGAAAACTTTTGGACTTATGAAGGTATACATGCAGTTTTAACATCAGAGTAAATTCTTTCCGGATTGGGTTATAAGACAAGCACACATATGTGAATTGAATACTAGCAGAAAAGATTTTCTATTTCCAGACTCAGTTTATCACGTTGATTGGGATGATGTTCTTCACAATCGTACTCCCCGCAACAAATATTCTATATGGCAGGTAGGTGGAAGTAAAGTAAACCTTATCTATTGATGGGTTGCTCTATCAGTTCTTAACTGTTCTCCCTGGAGGTCCAGTAAGGATCGTCTCTTATTAATTGATCCAGTATTACAGTACTATAGGGAGGAAACCTAAACTAAACTAACTTTATTTATACTGGATAACTCTATCATTTCTTAACTGCTCTCCCTAGAGATTCAGTTTGGATATCTTTTATTGATCCAGTGTTACTACAGGAGAAAAACTAAACTAACTTTATTTATACTGGCTAACTCTATCATTTCTTAACTGCTCTCCCTATAGATTCAGTTTGGATATCTTTTATTGATCCAGTGTTACTACAGGAGAAAAACTAAACTAACTTTATTTATACTGGCTAACTCTATCATTTCTTAACTGCTCTCCCTATAGATTCAGTTTGGATATCTTTTATTGATCCAGTTTTACTACAGGAGAAAAACTAAACTAACTTTATTTATACTGGCTAACTCTATCATTTCTTAACTGCTCTCCCTATAGATTCAGTTTGGATATCTTTTATTGATCCAGTGTTACTACAGGAGAAAAACTAAACTAACTTTATTTATATACTGGATAGCTCTATCAGTTCTAAACTGTTCTTCCTAGATGTTCAGTAAGAAAAGTTTCAATCAGCATCTTATAATTTTGTCTGTATTGTTTCCATTTAGAGAGGTAATTTTGAAGGCTGTAGTCATCGTTGTTGTGTTAATAATCAGAGTTTTTCAGGGATGTTGCTTTACTGGACACTTTATTATGATCGGTAATAGCGTGACATCGGAATTAAGAGCGACTGCTCACGGTTTTGCTATGACTACTGTTTGTGCTGCTAGGTTAGTAAGGAAGAGTATTTGTCTTAATCAGACTGTAGTGGATAGCTCTATCAGTTCTAAACTGTTCTCCCTAGAGGTCCAGTAAGAATAATTGATTGATCTAGTGTTACTACAGGAAGAAACCTAAACTAAACTAACTTTATTTATACTGGATAGACCTATAAGTTCTAAACTGTTCTCTCTAGAGGTCCAGTAAGAATCATCTCTTATTGATCCAGTGTTACTAGAGGAGGAAACCTAAACTAAACTAACTTTATTTATACTGCATATCTCTATCAGTTGTAAACTGTTCTCCCTAGAGGTCCGGTTAGGGCCATCCCTATTATTGATCCAGTGTACTAGCCCCTAGAAACCAGATGCGTCAATATATTGTATTAATTCTCCATTTCCAGAACTGTTTCTCCAACCGTGGCGGGCAGTATGTTCTCATGGTCCATCACATCTGGTTTGGGGTTCCCATTCAACGAAAAACTTGTATTTATATTTATTGGATTTGTAACCTGGCTTGCGTTGGTCGTTGCCTGTTGCTTAGATGAGGAAGCTGTTACTAAACAGACTACAAACTGAATTATGTTGTTCATACGAAGAAAGCGCGTTGTGTCGTTATTTGTGACGAGCAGATGAGGGTCTGACCTCTTTGGAAAGAGGCTAAAATTCTGTTGGAGATTTTGTGGTTGTTCGAGAAACTATATTTGAAACTTGAGGTATTGGTGAGAGGGAGGTTTTCAAGATATATGCCGGGTATATAAGTAGGTAATGAATTATTTGGTTTAGTGTTTATTTATTTATGTTTAGGTGGAAGGATTTGGTTTGGTAGGTTGGTGTGTGAGGAGGTGGGGGTAGGAAAGTGGGTGGTGTTAAAGAAGTGAGTGGGGTTAAAGTAATTAGGTGGTAGTGAGGTGATGAGGTAGGGTGGGTGTGTGTGTAAGGTCGGTAGTGTGTGTCATTATGTTTAGACTTTGGGTGGCTGTCAGGAAATTCGAGAAAAGGTTTATACATACCACAACATATGGTATATATATGGTATTATATGATATTTGTATTTGTAGAGGTTTGGTTTAGAGTTGGGTGTTTGGACTAGGTTGACCAGTAGATAAATTATTCTTGGAGACATTAATTTATACTGTTTTCAAATCATTAACTGATCCATGCATATATGCATTAAATTTCATTCACTTTTTCATATCTACGTAACAAAGAAATATACTATTAGATAAAAAATTTGCATAATAAAGATAAAAATATGGATTTCAAGAGGTATTGATAGCTCTTCAGAGGCAATATATATTATCTAATGAGTGGGCACTGCCAATCTCTTAATAAACTATAGTGTGTTCCTTCAGGAAATATCTCGGCAGCAGTATTCTGGGTTCAGTTAGCAGTATACATCAGTTCCCACAGATCAAGTCTATGATCATAAAATGAGCATGTGGCCATTACTTCATGTAAGCCATCCCCATGATCACCACCACTCGAACATCGACCCCAGTCAGCACCATAGGCCAAAGACTCATGCGCTGTGTACGAGGCGACCACTTCAGCTTTACCCTCGGACTTTGTATGAAATTGCAACACATGAAACCCTGAATGACAACACGCTGCTAAAAGATACTCTGCCTTCCTAGGGTGCCACTTTAGTCTCCAGACCCCTCCCCCAACATCACAAGTCGCCAAAGGCTCTCTCATTGATCGACTGTCCCAGATGTGAACCTGTTCGTCATAGCTTCCACTTGCAAAAACATGCTCCACTAAGGGGTTGCTCTGTATAGCACAGACCCCCATAGTATGATTCTTATTCACAAAAATTGGTTTATAACATTCAGTCCGTGTGTCCCAGCCTTTTAACAAACAATCGTCACCTCCCGAGTAAACAATATGTGTATTCCAGCGGTCGTATGCAGTTATCCATGCATCAAAATTATGTGCCTTCCAATTTTGATCTAACAAAACTTCACTTCCATTTTCGGCAAGTTTTACTACAGAAACGCACCCACCCGAGTCGCTGATGGTGACTTTTGGTTCAGTGTTCCTAGCCCAGTCTAATGAAAGACTCAAATTTGGTGAACAAACATCAATTGAGCTCAAGTTTTTCAACTTGTAAGCATCATTGTTTTCAACCACTGAATATAAGTCAAATTTGCCAGATGAGCTGGTCACACCTAGTAATGGTGTACCATTATAATCGCACCATTTCATATCTGTAACAGCCGCAGTCGAAACGGTTTGAACTTCGGACAAACACTTTGATGCACCGTCAAATTTGAACAAAATCATGCTGCCAATTCTTGAATTATTCTCACTGGATTTGAGTTCGTCTGGTGCTGAAGTACCTTCAACTAGCTGGTATGTACCACATACAAAGTATGGTGGATTTGTTGGGCACCATTCGACACTGTCCGCATTAAATTTGGTGTCAATTTGAGCTATTGTAGAAATCTTTGAAGCCATGATTTTCTACTAAAAGGAAAGTTTTTACTTTTTAGTGATCTACTTTTTTATACAGATGATTTAAAAATGGTCCAGAATGAGAGTTCACTGTTCAGTATTTATATATAGGTCAGTATTTTACAAAGATTTTGTGCTTCCACAAGCTTCCACCACTAAAGGAAATTTCGTTTACAAGTCAAATCAATATTACTGTAAAGTCAAACTGTTTTGCTTTAAAAATATTTTAGTGTTTGTTTTAAACGTTTAGCACTGTTCAGTTATTAATATATTGAAATAAATTTAACACAACCGCAAAACCTTCTCCGAAAAAGGAAATATATGTGATTTTCTCTTGATTTTCGTCGAGATTTTCGTGGGTGATAAAACTTCATTCATGGAAACACTAATTCGCTTTTTCGCGCCAGAAATTCAAAGTAAACATGGCGTTCTAAATTCGAGTTTTAAATTTTTTCAAGTACAAATTTTTGAACACATTTAAAGCGATATTTCCTCGCTTTTTCTTTGTGAAAGCACGATGTTTGTTGAGAGACTGAGAGAGGAAATGTACGATGTCATTTCTAAAGAGGTATGGTTGTAATTCTGTTTCATAATTGAGTTTAAAACACAAATAAAACTGTAGTGTATATTTAAATACGAATATAGTATGCTATGTTTTCGTTTTATATATGTCATATCTTGGGGTGTTTTATCATAAAATATGTCTTTGCAGTCACAAATTACCAGACAAATAGATGGAACAGGACATGTATATCACATAAATAAATCCATTTATAAACAAATTGTGTCATTTCTCAATTTTATTGTTCTGTTAAAAGCGATGAAATATTTTAATTTTTCCTTTTGGCTTACATATAGAGAGTGCTGGTTTTGGTGACAATGAATGCTGATGCATTATGTGCTTGTAAAATTTTACAGGTATGGTATTGGTCATATTGTCCAAACATAAACAGCATTTATACTTATATTGATTTATCTTGTATATTTCCATCTAGTGGTTATTTAAATGTGACAATGTTGAATACACGTTGCTTCCAGTCAAGGGTAAAGACGATCTCGTGAAGGCTTATGTTGACCATGCCGAACAGGTGACTTACATGGAAATATTTAGTGAAGTGATTAAATGTCGGATACAGGGTGGTTCCTGAAGGGGCAGAAGGTCTACCCCCCCCCTTCCTGTTGTGAAACCAAGGTTTCACCTCTTGAAAAACAAAGTTTTCTAGCCAAGGTGTTCTGTAGTGCTGTAAAGCATTTCTCAGGGGAGCATGCCTCCCGAATCCTCCCAGGTTGTACCGATAGAACACTAGTTTTATTATCTGTAAGACTTAGCCCCCCCTCCCCCCCCCCCACTTGTTGAGGAATTCCAGGTGCCCGTACTGGTCAGATAGTCATGGTTTTACCACCACTTTGTTCCTTTGCAATGTGGAGGAATTTTCCAAGGCAAGCTTCCATTTTGTGTGTTTAGATCAAACATGTTGTTCTGATAAATTGTGGAGGGAATATGAACATTTTGGAATTACTGCAACCCTTGGATGATGTTATATTTTACATTGTTGACAGGTCAGAAAATATAATCATTAATTAAGAGATAGGAACTTTAAAGTTATGAGTCACCTTAAGAATATTGCTAGTGGAGAAACTCTGAAACTGGTTATTGATAGTAGAAAAACTGCCAAGAGCCACCTTAATGAAATTTTTAATACTTTGAAGCGTCACCTTAATAAAAGAGTTTTGGTACCTAGAAAACTGCAGAGACCCACCTTAGTAAGACTTTTGCTTGTTGCAAAGTTGCAGAGAGCCACCTTAATGAGATTATTGGTCCTTGGAATACTGCAAAGAGCCACCTTATTAACATTTTTGGTAATTAGAAGACAATACTGTAGAGAGCCACCTTAATACAAATTTTGGTACTTAAAAAACTGCCGAGAGCTACCTTAATAACACTTTTGGTCTTAGAAAACAATACTGTAGAGAGCCACTTAGAAATCTGCAGAGAGCCACCTTAACAAGACTTTTAGTACTCAGAAATCTGCAGAGAGCCACCTTAATGAGAATCTTGGTACTTAGAAATCTGCAGAGTGCCACCTTAATGAGACTTTTAGTACTCAGAAATCTGCAGAGAGTCACCTTAATGAGAATCCTGGAACTTAGAAATCTGCAGAGAGCTACCTTAACGAGACTTTTAGTACTCAGAATTCTTCTGAGAGCCACCTTAATGAGAATTTTGGTACTTAGAAATCTGCAGAGAGCCACCTTAACGAGACTTTTAGTACTCAGGAATCTGCAGAGAGCCACCTTAATGAGAATCTTGGTACTTAGAAATCTGCAGAGAGCCACCTTAACGAGACTTTTGATTTGGATTATGTTATTAAATCCGCTTTGATTTGCTGTAGTCACCGTCCACTGGATCTAGACAATGTTTATAATCAAGATCAGATCAAAATTTTGATGAAAGAAGGAGAGACTTTGGAAATCCCTGACTTTGATGACATTTACGCATCATCAGACGTACGTATCATAAACCAAGGGATTTCAGTATTGATTCAAACTACCGAGTTCTACATAATACAATACCCTTCATATTCTATTAGAGATAGAGTTGTAAAACATTTCGATTTTTTAGGATGAAGAAGAAGATGAAGAGGGGACACCTTTGAAAAGAAGAAAAACAGATGATTCGGTAATATTTGATTTGAAATTCTGTACATTGATACAAAAGTTGTTTTTCTACTGTCAACCTTTCACACCTCGTAAATAGTGGGATCGCGGGGAACCTGTGAATTTTTCACAAATACGTTATGGGAATGTATGGGAGAATCTTAAGAAATCATTAAACCATACTTCTTTATCTGTCACTGGAGATATGTAACATAAATACAGTCAAGTGTACTTTGTTGTTGCGTACATAATACATGGCATAATGTACGGTCCAATTTTCCATTGTTTTTACGCGCTTTTGAAGAACATTCGAGAAAGCCAAATTCAAGATCCGTGGAACAATAAACACTCGTTTTCATACTAGGAATCGCCTCACAAATCAAAAAAAGAAAAACGTCTTTGGGCAAAGAAAAGGCAAACTACTATTTACCAATATTATGAAAATGCCTTTCATGGAACTTCAGTAAGTGTAAACATCTGTTTCCATATTTTTATTGCCTTTTGACTATATTTAAAGTTTTCACATTTCATATTTTTCATTTCAGTCCGCAATGGTTCTTTACGAGCTTTCTTGGAAAATGAGTAAAGATTCAAATTTGCTCTTATGGTAGGAACGGGAAAACTGGCGTTTCTAAATTATGGCAAAAGTTTCTATCTGATATAGTAAAACTTAAAAATGTTTCTATATTTTTTTTGTGAAAGGTGGTCCATTGTGGGTCTGACTGATCAGTTGATTAACGAAAGAATAGATAAGTAAGATTTTCAAACTTATCAAACAAAACCGTGGGGAAAACACACAAATGAACTTTGAATCATGGTTTTCAGACTACAAATCTTAATCATGAATGATGTTTTTGTTATTTATTCTAGTGAGAAATACGTATCGGATGCCCAACGACTTCATGAACATGTCCTACGTCTGAATCATGACACAGAAGAAGATGGCGCATCAATCAACTGCATGAAAATCTCATTTGACCACGAGTATCCTTATATATACTTTAAAATATTCACAGGAAAATCATGGGGATGTTGGTGGGTTTTATTATAATTTCTCAGTTGCTTTTGAGATGAGTGCTTCCAATTTGACTCTGCCGAACACCACAGGTTTTCTCCAGATATACTCCCGTTTCCAGCTCCAGCAACACTCATTGATTTTACAATTTTTCCTTGACGAAATTGTACAAGACTTCGTCTAGCATTGTATCGACATTGGTCCATTTTTGACAGTTTATGTCATTCCAGTTTTACTGCATGCATGTAAGTTTGTTTTTCGGCTTAACACGTAGTCGTAGAAGTTGTTTTTTTTCACGCACTGTACGTAAATAATTTCTACTTTGTCCAAAAACTCAAGGTTTCGTGTTTGGACTCTAAAGGGAAAACGACGGCTGCATGAGTTTCTGGCTGAGTTAGGGTTAGTATACCGCATCCTATATTGGTCTATATTCACATTCACCCAATCACATGCAATTTTGAAGAGTAAACGTTTTTTGTCGTTACATTATAGTTTACCACTTCATCAGTGCCAGCAGAAATTCTCCGCAATGGACGTAGCTTTGAGAAACAGTTTAAAAGACTCCATTGTAGACATTGCAGAAAAATATGGGTTAGTTTGTAGCCAGAAGATACTCTTCCCAGGCCCCGTGTCCATTTGAATTATTTACAATATTTACAAAAATAAAATTAAAGCTGATTTACATAACAAATTACTATATTTACAATTTATTTTCGAAAATTTTTAGTGAGTTGGATTTCCTTATTTATAATTCAATTGGTAGTTCTGTTTTTTATGCGCAATACTAATAGGAAAAGACTGCAAGATTTTTTGTATTTTTTTTTACACATCACTTTTTAGGTTGGAAGAGATTATGTTTGGATCATTTAATGTTCAACTCGGTTATAAAAATAAGGTAAAACTAAACTCTAATTTATTTTTATTGGATTGCAAAGTTCCGAAATGTTCTCCCTAGATGTCCAGGAAGACCTAAATTCTTTGATCACTTATTTTCTTCCAGCTTTGTGCTAGCGATGTTGTTTTTGCAGTCACGGCGTTGTTGGAAAACTCCACGGTATATGGCTTGTCGGTTTTATTCATGGTTTCCATTCTGGTTTTTGAGTGTTAAATGAACTTTGTTTGTTCTTACAGGAGGAAGGAAAGACTTTCTCTGACAATTTTCTGGACGCACTTGACGCCCTGACATGGTGCTCGTAAGTACCCAAGTAATCTTTTCACCGGCGATTTCCTCTCTTGTGCTTGATATCTCAATATAATCTTTTCAAAAAGGTCGGGTCTGGAGAAGCTTCAGAACGGATTAGAGCTCTCGAAGAAACATGTAAGTAGAAATGAATGCTAATCATAAGCAAACAAAAGCCGCACAGCCCAAACGCGTACCTAAAGCGTCTTTAGTCCCTAAAAGGATGTTGGTTAGTGCATCATGTACCATTCATCCCTGTACCCTGCAGGATTCGTTTGTCTGATTTCACGTCAATTGCAACTGTTAATTTCTAGTGTGGTTATTTTTTCAAACTTTTATACAGTCGAAATTTCCGTCTACAAAAAACCCTTCTGCAATAAGTTCTATCGATTGCGATGCCCCAAATCCTGATATTTCCCCATACACCTTACATTGGCGTCACTCCAGTATATAAACATGAACTTACGGTTACAGAGCTTAACAACTCATGGATTCTGTAGCTCAGTTGGGCCAAAAAAAATATGTGGGTTTCCTATTTCTTCTTGTAAAAACTTAGGTAGGGTTGGTCGGTTTTAACTTTTTTTTTTAAAACTTTTTTTAAAATTTTCCTAACAACCGGACGCCATTTTGTTTAGTCAGTGCTTCCACATTCAAAGATATATTTCCCTAATATTGCCTCAAATTTCCATTTTTTACAAACCTTTCCCTCTAAGTGGAAACACTTACAAACATGATCCAATCAGGGTCGGGATTTCGGCGTCCAAAAGCTAGGTAGGGTCGGGAAACCGGAAACCCACATATTTTTTGGCCTTGGTTATAGCGCTGCACCGGAATCGCAGGGCCGCAGGTTCGATTCCTGCTAGAGGACTTATAGTTGCATTTTTCACAACTGTTCCTGATTAGATCTAAATATTTCCATCCTGAACAAACTCCTTCCACAGTGAATTATAAATTCTTTTACAGCTTGTTGCTATCTGGAATCAGGTTCACTCCTTCATTAGTATGCACCAGATCGTGTGTGCTGGACCATTTCTCTACGCGCATGTCCGCGAGGCAAGTGCCCAGGCCCATTTCCACCCAAGAAATATTTCCACGGACAGAAAAGTTTCCGAAAATATCATTGTTCAAAGTTAAAAAATTTCAACTTCAAAATTTTTTTCCGACGGAAAATTTGTGTCCGCCAATCACATTTTACAAAATTTTCTTTCTGCAGAAAATTTTCCCGAGTGGAAATGAGCCTTTATATATTAGCTGTGATTTTTTTTGTGATTGAAATTTCTAAATCCCAAGTTAACGCTTTTATATACTTTCATATCTACCATTACCCTTTTAGGGAGCTCCGGATGTGCAAGTATTCTCTACGCCAATCAACGTAACACGACTGGCGCGATTTGTTCTGAACTGTTACGTCATCATGGTAAGTTTATCCAAGGCTTGAGTTCATCTAATGACGTCAGTTTGAAAAACCTTACGAATCTGAGCATTTTGGTACTTTGTGGCACCAGACTATAATTATCCTTATTTGATCTGCGTATCTTTGCTTCTATTATCTTTTAGTCAAAAAATAAACGAGCTGCAACTTTGCCATTTGTATTGGCGGCACCATTGGATCCAGAAACAGGTACTAGCAGTGGCGAATCCAGCCCAACAATTTGGTCATGCTATGTGGCAAATGTTTCCGTCTTCATAGACCGTGAAAACAATCAATTTCTAAAGAAATGAATAATGATAGTGATTTAAAATCTGCATAGCATGACCAAATTTTCGGGCTGACTTCGCCACTGGGTACTAGATTTGTCAACGTAATCAAAGCTACTGTTTAAACATGATATAAACATGCAAGTGAAAAGCCTGGTTTAGACTATCAAAGTTTCTGTGATCACAATAGGAATTTTGCATAGATAAATTTTGAAGGATTCGTGAGCAATGTGTGAGATAACTGAGTCACTGTTTAACACTATAAGTCAGTTTCCTCAAACATTTCTTACAAATCTTTCAAAACTTAGAATTTACCAATGCAAAATTCCTACTGTGATCACAAAAACTTTGATAGTGTAAAACCAGTCTTAAAGTGCATATGACATGAAATTTGTTGTTTTCTTAAATGAAAGAACTCTTTAAGTTGTAGTGTAACTTATTTTTCAGTTTCTTGTTTTTATGGTTTGTTCCCGAGATATTTCAATTTGTTTGATATGTAAATGAGTGTGAATATGTCCGCTAATTTATGACGTCATGTTGGTTGCAAGCTCTTCAAAATGGTTGAATATCACTGCTATCATCCAGACATCCAAGATGATAATTTCAAACTTCACTCACTGGTAAATGTGATGAAACACTGGAGAAAAACGTAAACTAATATCAACAGTTTTTAAAGTTAATACATTTATAACCAGTGTAAGCTGAGCTTGCAACCAACATGAGTCATAAATTAGCGGACATATTCACACTCATTTACACATCAAACAAATTGAAATATCTCGGGAACAAACCATAAAAACAAGAAACTGAAAAATAAGTTACACTACAACTTAAAGAGTTCTTTCATTTAAAAAAATAAGAAATTTCATGTCATATGCACTTTAACACTATAATACTAACCATTTTTCAAATCTAGGTACTTGCATTGTGGTAGGAATTCCTCCAGTGGCTGACGACACAAGAAAGAAGTATGTGTCTAGTTTGATATCATGATAGTTGTTAAAATGGTGAAACTCATGATTGGTAAATAAAGTGGCAAGGAGTTTAAATTATGTTTAATTTTCAGCTTTCTCGGTCGAGCATTTGAGATGGCGGCGGAAAAGACCAAAGCAAGATCACGACATGATCATTGTGAACCTGCAGGTAACGAATGATTCAACCCCGTTCTCTTTGAATCTCGTGATTGCTTTTACGCACAACCGTTTCAACTTTTGTCAGGAGTAAGTGCAGGGTTTATAATGCAGTAAAAACTGAACAATCAACAGGGTGCGATCATTCAAGATTTCTAGTCGTACCTGACTGGTACGCCAATGGTTGTTGCCGCGTACTTGCGCTGGAACAAACTCAGTACTCAATGTGTACTTAGTCTTTACAATAAGGTTCATAAAGTACAGGTTTCTGAAAAGTATGTTCAGACTACGAGGTAGCAAGCGGAGTTTTGCTATTTGAAAAGGGAGTTTTGCTATTTGAAAAGGGAGTTTTGCTATTTGAAAAGGGAGTTTTGCTATTTGAAAAGGGAGTTCTGCTATTTGAAAAGGGAGTTTTGCTATTTGAAAAGGGAGTTTTGCTATTTGAAAAGGGTGTTTTGCTATTTGAAAAGGGAGTTTTGCTATTAGAAAAGGGAGTTTTGCTATTTGAAAAGGGAGTTTTGCTATTTGAAAAGGGAGTTTTGCTATTTGAAAAGGGAGTTTTGCTATTTGA